TATATTAAAGCAATAAGCCCCAAGAAGCCATGGTTTACAGTGAATTTATAACAGCTAAGGGGCGTTGTTTGGTACGACGTGAAGCGGAGAAAAACCCCTTAGCTGTTATAAATCCACTGTAAACCACAGCTTCACGGGGCTTATTGCTTTTATAAAACGGCTATAACGGTTAGTTAGTAAGGTTTCGCAGAATAAAACAGAGCAAATAAAGTGTAATGATATTAATAAAAACAGTAAAAACAGTAGTTCCTCAGAAACGGTTGTAGTTCCAACAAAGTGGTTGCCGAGCAACACAAATGTAAACAAAGATGTATGTTTGTAGAGTAATTTACAACTGCTTCGAACTTGGCTCAACCAATCAGAATCAAGGACTGGAAATATCAGTTTCATAAAAATAATTTACCCAGCACTAATTATTAGTATAATTTAGAACTTATTATTATGAATACCATATAAATGTACATCATATTCATAATATATGTTATGTTCCTGTGGCTCAGTGGTAGAGCATTGCGTTAGCAGCGCAAAAGGTTGTGGGTTCAATTCCCAAGGAACACACTTACTGGTAAAAAATGTATAGCCTGAATGCACTGTAAGTTGCTTTGGATAAAAGTGTCTGCTAAATGCATAAATTATTATTATTATATGTATAATATATATAAATGTATAATATATACACATACGTTCATGTCAGTACTAGTAGTTTTATTAAAATGACTATTCATTTACAACAGTTTCACACCACCTGTTTACTAACAAGATAATTCTCAGTTGACCTCTGAATATACTTGACTAACGAGGGGAAATGTGCAAGAGAGACGCAGTTGTGCAAATGAGTCGGGGGCCAGTGAGTGCTCCGATCGGATCAATGCAGTAATTAGAGCAGCCGCTCAAGGCAGGGACTGGCAAGACTGTCTAACCCACACAGGAATACTCTATAAACACTCTCAATGTCCTCTCTGAAGGTATGCGTGTGCATGTTCAGACATGTCAGCCTGAGAGCCCTTGTGCTGTTTGGTGTCTGTGTGATTTGTTAGGTGGCTCTCTCAGAAATGGAACTGGGTGAGCGGCGAGGGGAAAGGTTGGGGAGTTCGACCGAACGCTACTTGTCATTTCCTCACAGTAAATTACACACTACCTCAGATCCTCTGTTGGTTGGAGCTAAACAAACAGGCAGTATCGTATCACCCATGGCAGCCCCTTTAGAGGTCAGAGGTCAATGACTGAGTGACAGGTGTGTGCACAGGGAATTTGAGAGCAAGATTACTGCTCCCACATCGAGAGAAAAAAAAAGAGAGATCCATTGCAAGTTGCAATCCAGCATTGACTGTTGAGAATTTATTGTTTAAATACTGAAACTGCATCCAGAGCACAACATTTCATGTCTTTCCAACAAATCTACACGTAGGAGGATTAATAATGCAGCTAAAGCCAGGTCCAAACTATTGGCATGATGTCTGGTCCACTTTGCAGCTTTTTCTAGCCATTTGTTCAGGAAGTAAACATTTGATCAAGACTAATGAAACTAACCTGAGTTTGTTTTGCTGTAATGTGTGAAATGAAGGATACTGTAATAGATAAAAAGCCCTTATTTGTTGATTTGTACGATAAAGTTCCTTTTGTTAACATTAGTTTACATCAACTAACAAGGGGGAAAAAATTAGTTAATGTTAATTTTAACATTTTAAAAATCATACATTATAAAAAAAAATATATATATATATATATATGGATGGTGTATATATAGATGTGGCCAACATCGGGTCCTGGAGAGCCACAGTCCTGTAGTGCTTCGCTGTGTGTGTAT